TCACTGGAGTGGACATACAGCTGCACGCCAATTTTGACTGAGTTGGGTATCATCTTCATCATTCCTCCAGGTCGCATGTACGCCTCACGCAGTGTGCTTGAACCAAAAATGCCCTCTGACTTCCACATGCTAGTTTTTTCTGCCTTGCGTGTCTTTGCAATCTGGAACAGGAGCTATGCGTGGTCGCTGGCGGTGTTCATGTTAAGCGTGGTGCCAGTTGCAACAAATCTAGTGCCTATCACCTTTAACTGTACCTTGCATACCCTCGAGTAGTTAATGCATCTATGCAGTACAGTGCGATAATGTCGAAGTATGGGTTCATCACGAGCTCGCTCATCGGACCAACGTGTACCTCGCAGCCTCAGTTCTCTATACAAACATATAACATGTGGGTGCACATATCTTGCTGGTGTGCTTTCTTAATACTAATTATCTGCAATATAGAAGCACGTTTAGCTATCATAGCCTCCTAACATGTCAGAGACACTGATGCTACCTGCTCACAGTCACGTATACCACACGCGGGTCCCTCATCCTCGCTGACGGAATTGTGCTTGTTCTAACTTGGATCAAGACATTCGGACACTGGAAGAATATGCGCCGTCTCAAGATGAGGGCGTCGCTGACAACATGTCTGCTGCGTGATGGTCAGTAGTCCGGCGTGCGACTTTGCGGTCCTCGTTGCTAAAGCCCGGCTACCCATGCAGGAACTATCTATTTTACGTGAGTGGGATGAGACGGCTGCATTAGAAGGAACTCATAACAGGCGATGATGGATATACTAGAGTTCTCCTGGCTGTCAATATAACCCAGCCGCTAACTGTTCACTCCTCTTTGGTGTGTCCCCAACATGAGCACGTGAGCTGATAGCTGACGTCGAGCTTAAGGGCACATCGCTCGTGAAAGCATTGGTGACAAACCTAGTGCGTACTATCTGTTCCATCCGCACTGTTTGTACCCATAGACTGCCCATGTAGCCCCCGGTGCTTCTCAGCCGCTTCATGATCAACCTCCGGGCGGCCGACGAGGCAATGGCAGACTACTCTGTGCAAATGAGCGATCAACAACAAAGACCACCGACGCTGCAGTTCAGGACGCCACCAGATCGACTAGGCAATATTGGGGGAATGCTGCGGGATGGCTGGAGCGACGAATCCGACGACGAAGAGCATGATGCTGCAGTGTTGGGCGAGGAAGGATATCGTGAGACCGGTGATGAAGCGTGAGTTGGCGTCGATGATTATGCTAGACTTCAGAGTAGGCTCCGTCTCAGGCAGACAGTGGCATGTGTAACGTATGCGAACAGGAGGCTTGAAACTCATGGTATCGAATGATCTCAATTAGGCCGTGTGCCGTCGGGCATGGCGGTGCGTGAACACATGCATTTCGGGGTGATAGCGCATCTCTATGTAGTAGCTAACTCGAATTGCAACCTTCAACGAATGCTGAAGTCACTCAGATATTTTTGTGCAAAGTTTACACCGTGCATTCGGGTTCTTCTCATTGGTACTGTCAATATTAGGTACAATACGTATAGCACTCTGATATATCGCCTACAATGTGACTGGCTTCTTCAATGACGACAAGTGATGTGTTCCGTTTTCGCCATCCGAGACTCGGTCGTTCCCGCAGGAAACCATATAAGACCTTCGCCGACCAGAGTAGCATCTAGACAGAGCGGTCACAACACAGCACGGTAACTTGCACATCCGAGGGGAGAGCGTCACACCTGACGGAATTGGATCGCGAAGACAGATTGCGGGACCTGCAGCATAACGGCTCACAACCGTCGCAGAAAGGTTTCCAAATTGAGGACACGCTTGAGCTCATCTGGTGCCACCGTGTGCAGCGTCGGCGATCAATCCTGCGGGCGCGCAGGGTCTCCGGCATGATGTGCGCGAGACCGAACGCGACGGTGTACTAGCCTGACATCCAGCTGGCCGGGTTATTGAGGGGAGCGAGCAGCCTCACATCGGAGTATGCGCCATGCAGTCGTGCTCGTGGTTCTGCGCAGCTGGACGCTCGGATATATCAAGGCGCGCTGGACAAGATACTACATACCATAGGCAGGCGCCCTGTAGAGGCGCGGCTGCGGCACCACCTTCTCTACGTCATCCCGGGTCATAAGGCCCACGAAATGGAGAGTAAGCCTGTCTTGCTCAGCAGTCGCGCTAGAAAAGCAGCTCCGCCGCACGCTCTCTCCCGTCCTGCGCCCGTGCGTGCGGGAATGTCGAGCACCTAGCAGGCGTGCACCGGAGACGTGGCGAGCTCATCGGACGTGTACAGCGTCGAGCCTGCGTAATCGCATATGTTCATGGCAATCTGGCGCGGACGTACCTTAGCGCGTATGGAAGCACGCACTAGACAAACCCCTGGAGTCGGTGGATCGAGTTGACCGACGAGCTGCGAGCGATATGCATAGTAATCGCACAGATCGCCGTTGGCGGTCGCCCTGCGGATGACGACGACAGCGGTATATATCGGCGCTCTTAGCGGGACGCCGATGCCGGTGTGGTATAAGGTAGTGCCCTTCTCATCTGTGCGCGCGAAAGGCATGCTAAGCGATAAAGTTGCAGTTCAGAAGTCTTGTTCATACCTTGTAAGTATATGAAATACATGCATTCAACAGTTCGGCCATCCTTGACAGGTCCCAATTTTTGTGTTAGGGTACAAGCTGTAGAGATGGAGCACTGGAGTTACTGGTGCGGAAATCCACGAGAAGTTAATGTCAATGAAATGTAAAGCGACGCAGCGGTCCAGGTAACAGAAGGCAAAGATTGCAGAAGCACATATGCACCTGCACACGGAGCTTGAGTGGTGCACATCGCACAAGGCGCACGACGGCGTGTAAACGGAATTGTGGCCGCTTCCTGCTGCCGCCATGGACATTGGGCAGAGAGAACACCAGAATTAATCCTATCTCCCCCGCAAGCTCAATCACCCCTGGCCTTACCCGCGCCTGAGCGTAGCAGCATGTTAGGATAGAGTTCGAGCTCCAAGCGGAATGCCCCCGGGTATCGAACCCGCGGGTGTAGAGTGTCATGGTATGGAAGGGCTGGAGGTTCACATATCTCGGCAGAGAATACTTCTTCAAATCAAGGCCAGACAACTCACAGAAATTGGCACGTGCGATTACAAGCTTGCTGGTCGAGAGGGGTGCTTGCTTGTGCAGGTCAAGCGTCGTTGCAGCTTGCGAGGCGTTCATCCTAGACGCAGCGTCGCACAACCACAGCTTCCAAATTTCTTGAGCCAGCTCTTCGCCATATATATTAGCGTGTATAGCCCTCTCATATGCATACCGCACAGCTTGACTTGGCGCATAGTATTCTCGTGGCAGGCTCTTGAACAAGTTATCGCTCTGGGGTCGGGAACATCCGGAGGAAGCTGTCGCGCGGTCCGACCCGGAGTCTAGGCCCTCCAGGCGCCTTTGTGCCACCTGGATTCAGAAAATCTCCGTCCGACGCGTCCCAGTCACTCTGAATCTCCTCTCCTCCCTTCATGTACCCAACACCACGTCCCTTCACAGACCACAGTGTTCCTTCTAGCACGACGAGCCAATTCTGTCGCAGCTACAGACCGCTAGCTCAGGTGCGGCTGAAGTTCACGTTCATGTTCGGCAGTGCGTAACAAAGAGTCAATAGACAAAGGCTACCTACTTTACACACTCCTCGACCGGCTCAAGACCATATCTGTCGTACCACCTTGGGAAGAAGACCATGCGCCGTTATCCCATGATGAAAACAAGCTGCATAGCTGCCGACTGGTCCGCGATAATCCTAGACAACACGACATCGCATGGCGGGCCAGGGAGAGCCGCAACTGTTTGCGCGATTGCTAAGAGGTGAACAGCCGTGGGCGGATCTTATGCAGCGGGCGGGAGCAGGATGAAGGCGCCTTGGGTTGGCTGCCCGGCCGATGCGACAATCGTGGGCACTGGCGCGGCGGCTGGAGCGGCAGCTGTAACAGACGTAGCTACCGGCGTATCGGCAAGACCTGCCGCACGGACTCGATCACGCTCTCCCGGTTCCCCCGCGTGCCAACATAACAGGAGGGATGGTGGAAGGACGATCAGTCTGCGCTGCTCCTGCCGCGGTTAAACCTGGTGCCCTTATGGTCACGGCCGCCGTCCTAGTGCCCACTGCGACTGGTGGAGTCGTTCTTTCCACTCTCACTGCGACTCTTTCAGTGCTCTCCATTGACGTCCTCTTCCTTGACAGTTTGAACCTCACGAGCTCTTCTTCCCCCTTCCAGTTGGCTGTCTCAATGCTTGCTGACTCGGACGACCCACTCCTCCCAATCCCGATATTAACTTGTGCAGGTGGCGCAGAGTAGAGGATACTCGCCGCAGTAGTCCAGGGCCGAAGTGGGGTGAACATCCGGCTGTGGTGATCGATGTCGAAATGCGCCCGGCGCGGCTCAAAGGCGCGTCGCGTCGGAAGGCAGAGGGGCGGTTGCGAGACAAGGCGGCGCCTTGTTCGGTTGTATCTGTTGTTGCCGTCGCCAGCGGTAGATACCACCGTACAAGCCGCTTGTCGAGTGTCATCGTGGCTCAATGTGCTATTGTATTGTCCAGGGACTCGCGACGGCCGTCCAGGACTGGGGCCAGGTGGAGTTATGTAAGATGTCAGTGATGGAATATCAGACAAGTGGGACTTACCTCGGCTCTGTAGGAAAGTCTTAAGGGGAGTTACCACGTGGTACGCACCGCTGAGGCGCGTCGGCCGACAGGTCCTTACTTCTCGCCAATCTCTTCATTGCCGAACCAACCCCCCCCCCACCTTCCTCAACATCAAAATCGACGCGACAGCTAGCATAGCTGCGCAGGGCGTCGAGCTCCTCGGTACCCATCCGGTCCAGCGCCGCGGCGCATTCGGCGAACACATCACTGATGTCGTCGATCGCCCTCTGTGCGATGTCGAGGATCCCTGAGGGCGCAGCACGTACGAGCACGGTGTATATGATGGGTCAGTGGCTGGTATTTTCGATGGATTTACTTGGGGCATTAGAACGCGTGGATGCGGACGCTGTTGCCGGCGAGGTGTGGGATGTGGCGCGGGCGTTGCTCGGGGTATTGTGGTTCAGCTGCAGGGTTGTTGGGCGTGCGCGACGCGTTGATGTTGTTGACGTGATAAGGATATCGCTCGAGAGGTGCATGCGCCTGCTGTGCAAGTGGCGAAGGCGTAGGTGGTAGGAGGTTTCTGCAGATGGGGTCCTTATTGATGCATTGATGTCGTAGTGGTGCGTCGCTGATGCGACCTAGGGTAATCTAAGCAATACCAAGTGCTTTTAAAAATAGGTTGATGATGCTTGCAAACAGTCTAACCAACGCGAAAGTGAGCAGAGGATATGATTCGGAACGAAGGAGGACAGGGCGAGCGCCACGGATGCTACTACCCTGCAAATAATCAGCTGAGCATGGCATACGCCATTAGGCTGCGCCTGTGGGTCTTGAAGCTTGAAGCTTGAAGGGCTTCAGACTGGCTATTTGCATAACTCAGAATCGTACAGTATGACTTTAGTGCATCAAGAACCCGCACTAGCCTGTATGCGATGGCCTTACCGAGTCAGCATCTGTCCAGCAACGACGCGGATTTCCTCGTGCCTGTATGGCATCAGTGGCCCCTCCAGCGGACGCTCGGGGCATACGAGAGAAAAGGCGTTTGACAATTCTGTCCGGAGGAAAAAGGTGCTTTGGATTGGTAAGACGGTCCGCCTTTTCGTGATTGTGCGCTTATGCCAACATGGGCGGGTCTATGGACTTTTGTGAGTGGAATGATGCTAAAGCAGCATGGACATCATAAATTAATTCTATGAGGCGGTAAAAGCTGTCAATATGCTTGGGAATTGTAGGAAAAAGGATGTCCGTAGTACCATAAGCGCTCAGTGGAAAATGTGGGGTATCGCCATTTCCGAACGGAATCGTCAACTGCCTTTCCTCTCGCGAACTGTCAGAGCTAATAAGTGCACTCGGTCTAAAATCGTTTGATGCGTGGGTACATCCAGTGCCTATCGACAGCTACGCATGGCACTGGCATCGAGGTCAGCGCCTGTTCAACACTGGTACTGGCGTAGGTTTCCTAGTACGTGCCATATAACATCAATTACCTTGCTCGAACGATCGAAAAACTATTGCGAGGTAACAAACGCAGGTTGTTCACGATTTCTGGAACCTTGATAGAGCTTCAAAGCTTTGATCAAGCTTTCAAGTTCTGGGTCGGAAAAACGAGAATGCAGTATGCAGAGGGATTGGCAAAAACCTGAGAAAAGCGGCCGAAACCGTCGGTATTAACTGCGTAGTAGCTGTCGATAAGCAGATGCGTCCATGCACCGAAGGATCCGAGACCGAGCGTACTCGTTGGTTCTGGTAGTTCGCGAGAGAAAAGGCCCCTCTTGATGATTCCGTCCGAAACTTGAAATAGAAAACGCTCTGAACGGGGATGAGGATTCGCGCCCTCGAAATTGAGCATTTATGACGACACAGCCCGAGACGGAGCAAAGAACTATGTAAATTCTACTTCCTACCGTTCTCAGGTATATTAACTGCTTCAAACTGCCTCAGAGCGTTCATGTCCGTCATCCATACTGCCTTAGCATGCTTTCGCTCGCGATAGGATCAGCAGTGCTTGTACTTTCAAAAGCCCTTTCCAATCTTCAAGGAAGCACTATCGGCAAAGGTCGCGCATCCGAAATGACATCTGGAGAGTGCTGCAGTATAAATGCTGAGAGACGACTGGCCAAGTTACTCTTAAAGTGTACAAGCCCAGGTAGCCCACCTTCAATATCACCAGACTCCTCCGATATCCCCACGTTGACTATGTCCGCACCGTCAAACCAAGCTCTTGTTCAAGCCTACTCGCGTTTGTGAGCACTGCCCCTGCTTGCACTTCGCGACGTAATACTCATCATGATACCTTCTTCTCTAGTGCCACGGGTGACTATATCACCATAGCTGCCTCGTGTAAGTACATCACTGGGATTTCTTTCCCGCTGGATTTTTTACACATCATCTACCCTTCAGGTCTGGCCATCTACGAATTTTTGGTTACCATCGGTGATGAGATTAAGATTGTGTGGAAAAGACCTATCACTGTACGTGCCGTGCTTCTTGGCTCGGTACGATGGTGTATGCTCCTCGCGGCCATCCTGAATTTCCAGCTTACACTGTCATCTCCGAAAGTAAGCTTTGAATATTTTTGACCACGTGTAATCTGCGACAGTGCTTGTTACAGGAGTAAGTCCGGCTTTTCTAAGGTATATGGGAAGACAAGTTACTTATTGAAACCCGACATACAGCTGTGCGCCACCTGACATCCTGTACTGGGTGCTCGTCCTTGTTCAATTCCTCCAGGCCGCACGTACGCATTATGCGGTCTGCGCAAATTAAATTGCTCGCTGACTTCCACTTGCCAGTCTTCTCTGCCCTGCGTGTCTTTGCAATCTGGAATAGGAGCTATGTCTGGTCCCTGGTGGTGTTCGTGTTAAGCATAGTGTCATTCGTGACGAATCTAGTACGTATCACCTTTGATGGAGCCTTGCATATGCTCTAGTCGACGCCTCTATGCAGAACGATGCGGCAATGACAAAATACGAGCTCGTTATGTACCCGCTCACGGGGATATCATGCATCGAGGAGTCTCAGTTGTCTGCACGAGCATATGATATGTGGGTGCACATATGTTACTGATGCGTTTTTATAATACTGATGTTTACAATATAGACGTGCGTTCCGGGGTCAAAGCACGCGGGAGACGCTGATGTCATCTGTTCACAGTTGTGTACATCACTCGTGGCTCACTCATCCTTGCCGACGCTATCGTGCTGGTCCTGACCTGGATCAAGACATTCGGACACTGGATGAATGCCCGCCGCCTTAATATGAGGGTGTCGCTGGCGACATGTCTGCTGCGCGATGGTGAGTGGTCCTGTGCGCGACCTTACATTTTCCATCCCGTTGCTGAAGTTCAGCTACCCACGCAGGGACTATCTATTTTATGTGAGCGCGACGAGACAACCGCATTTGAAGGAATTACTCACAGGAAATAATGGATATAGAGTTCTGCTAGCTATCAACATGACCCAGCTGCTAACATTTAACTTCTCTGCGGTGCGTCCCCGACAGGAGCACGCGAGCCAATAGCTGACGTCGGGCTTAAGGAGGCATCACTTGTGGGTCCGTTAGTGACGACCTTGGTGTGTGCTTTACGTTCCATTCATACTGTTTGTATTCATGGACTATCCACAAAGCCCCCTCTGCTCATAAGCCGCTTCATGATTAACCTCCGGGCGGCCGGCTCACCAATGTCAGACCACTCTGTGCACATAAGTGATCAGCAGCAGGGACAGCCGACGCTGCAGTTCGGAAGGTCAGGGGACCGGTTGGGCAATTGTGGGGGAACGCTGCAGAATGGCTGGAATGATGAACTCTGTGAAGAAGAGAGCGATGCCGCGGGAGTGGAGGAGGAAGGACGTCGTGAGACCACTGCTGAAGCATGAGTCGGTGCCGAAGATCATATGTAGTAGATTCTGTGGGTGCGCTGTTACAGGCGGACAGCGCATCCGCAGCTTATGCGAGCAAGAAACTCGAGGCCTACAATGTCAGATAATCCAAGTTGATTAGTGTGCCTTCACGACTAGCTGAAATACTGTACAGGCGTCGAAGCACTTTCGTCGAGCAAGTACATTACAATGACTACAGCCAATTCCGCAGAAGCATTATTCCGCGCAAGGCGTTCCCTGTCTGCGCTCAGAGCCTCTGAGCAAGTCGTCCATCTCGTTTGAATGGTGATGTGCGGACCGGGCATCAAAGCCCATGAGCCCGCCAAGCCCAGCCCAAAAAGCCTGGCAGCGGGCTCAAGGCCGGGCTCGGAGTGTGGTCGAGCCCAAGCCCGACCCGGAAGCCCAGGCTTGGGTGCACCGGCTCTGTTACTATTCCTTGAGTTCAGAATGAGGTGAGAGAGACCTGATATGTACATACCAGACCTAATATGAATATTCTAGACTTGACGGTTCCCGCCGAGCACGATTGTGCATTACCGTCTAGTGTCTGCCCTAGGCGCGCGCTCGTGGACTTCGTTGCGACTCGACTTATTGCGCGAGTATACGTCTTCTGGAGGTTATAAGTACATGCAGCAATAATATACTACATCCAAATATACTCCCTGTCGATAGCATCAGAATATTCATTGTATTGTGAGCAAGCCCGCGGCTTGGACCGGGCTCGGCACGATGTCGCCACAAGCCCAAGCCGGGCCCGCACATCACTACAGGCTCGCAGTGATAATCAGAACGCACAGCTGGCCAAAGGTGTCGCACTTCAACCGGCGCATTGCTATTACCACGGCTGGCATTTTTGAAATGACAGCTCGGATACGTAGCATTCTTGTTTCGAGCCGGTCGGATCCCAGAGGTCGCAGTATATATCGCTTGTAGCAAGAGTTTCAGTTCGGCGGCCTAGACACGGGAACTTATTAAGTTACACCGGACTAGCCACTCAGAAGCGCCCATGAGTGGCTAAGACACTGAAAAGCCCAAAAAATGGCGCGGGCAGGAATCGAACCCACAGCCTGAAAGCAACCACGGCACGTTATACCACTAAGGCATAAGACCTTGCAAACATTGGGTTGGAA